ATAATAACATACAGTAAAGAAGAGAGGAAAGAACAAAATATTTTTTTTATCTATATGAGGAAATAAATTATTTAATCAGGCCAGGGACTACGACGTAATGCGTCTACATTTTTAGGCTTTTTACCACTTCGATGAATGACCGTGTAATTGTAGGATTGTAGTACTGCCCATCTCATAAGTTGGGGATTTAGACTCACATTATTTTTGAGCCAAACTAGTTGATTATGATCGGTCATGATGAGGAATTTAGTATGCCAGTCTAAATAACATTGAAGTTTCTTTACAGCAAATTTTATGGCGATGCATTCCTTTTCTGTGGTAGTGTACTTTTTTTCAGTTTCTGTAAATTTCTTACTGAGGTATAATACTGGGTGTTCATTGTATCGTTCACCTTTTTGAGCTAAAATGACACCCATATCAGAGTTTGAAGCATCAGTTTTCAAAATAAATGCCTTATTGAAATCAGATGAGTGTAATAGAGGCTTTTGCGGCAGTTTTACTTCTTCAACAACTCGTTCTTGTCTGTTTGGTTTCTTTAAAAACTTCTCCTTGACTTAACTGGAGAAATTGGCAATTCATCTAGAATTTTTAACTGAGAATCCACTAAATTTGTTAGTTTTTTCTTTTTAGATAGTTTTTGTTGTTGTGAGATGAACTTTTGTTTTTATCTGTTACTTGCATTCTCAATGAATGTGGCAACTTTGAGTATCCTTTATCATGTTTGCGAGTCTTTGCTAAGTTTTCTGATGCATGCTTAGATTCTGAACGTATTTTTAATTTCTTAGCTTTAGAAGCACCTTCATGAGTTCTTTCATCAGATGTTCTTTGATCTGCTGTTAACAAACTGTCAAACACATCTTTGCTTTTTGGAGAAGAAGGAAACTGGGGAGTTTGTAAGGGAATAATCATATACACTATCCATAGAAGATGAACCTCTAGGTAAATAAGGTGAGTTGACTTCTATATCAATAACTACGGTTTTCTCATCTGGAGATGAACACTTACATTGTTTGTCAGATTTCTGTGAAACATTGACAGAAGCTTGACTTTTAGGAGGGTGAATATCGACCAATTTACCCTGAGTTTTAGCACTATTATTTGTTTCGGTCTGTATCAACGATGTATAATTTTTTTAGCTTCTCAAAGCAATGAGGTTAGATCTCTACTTTGATGTTGAGATTCAATTAATTCCTTAGAATTAACATTAATTACTTTCTTCATTTCTTTGTCTTCCTCATCAGCTGCCTCATCATCTTCATCAGTCTCAATAACACACAGTGCTTCTGTTTTCCCCATTTTGGTGTCTCTACTTCATTTCTTCACAAGATCGTTATACTTATAATTTTCTTCACAAGATCGTTATACTTGAGATCTTGTCAAAACCGAATTTATTTTTTCTAAATTTAAGAATGATTTATCTTTGAACAGTTGAGCAGTTTTGTTACTCAATACATATCTGCCAGGATCATTTGTAACAACAGCTGCTTTTGTCTTTATAAGACCAAGTTCACAATTAATTTCAACTTCAGATAATGGTAGACACACTAAATGGTCATTTAAAAGATATTGTACCCAGACATGTTCTCCAGTCATTCTTGCGTTATCTATGTATTTTCGAGAAATAACATCAACTGTGGCTCCTGTGTCTCGAAGAATAGGCATTTCATACCCATTAACAAAAACGTTGATTATATATGTCTCTAACAAATCATCATTTGAAGATACACAATTTACCTTTTTATTTGATTTTAAGCGAGGGCATTGAGGCTTAAAATGTTAGTATGACCCTTACTCGAAACAGCATAGTTGATATCTTTTGTCATATAAACTTTCTTGGTTTTTATTTTGAAATTGACTTCTTTGTCAGTGATCTTTCTGGTATTTTGAATCATCCCATTTATCAGAATGGTTAAAAGGAGGCGGATATTCACTTTTTCTCACAAAATTATCATAATGAGATTTAAATGATCCTTTGTTAATTCTGTCAGTTTGATTGGCAGAAAATTTCAATTTTATCCTTTTTCTAACATCTTCAAAATTTTCAATTTTTTTAACCATCTCAGTAGATGCAATGATGGTAATCCATTCATCCATAAAATGTTCTTTGAAATCAGGAGAAGTATGCTTTTTAATTTGATCAACCAGCATAAGATCTTTTAGTTGTTCAAAAGTTTTAATGTTTAATCCGTTAAGCCATCCTTCTAAATAATTCTTTTATTCGTATTAGAAATCATATCAAGTACTTTCAGTAGATTTTTGGTGTTTATTAAATAGTTGTCGAAATTTTTCTGCACTCTATTTAAATCATAGTAACTGTAAAGTTTTTACATATTCGTACTATTTTGTGTCCTCTTCTGGTTCTCTAGCAATAAGCTGAACAATTTCGGGAGGCAGCAATGAAATAAGTTGAATCACTTAATTTTCAGCAGCCATATTCATCATTTTAGCTTGACGCTCAAATAACACCAGAAATAAACTTATTTCATCTGCTTTAGGGTTGAAACATGGCATGACATCGTGAATTCTGATTTTTAAAGGCTGCTCAGGTAACTGCGTAGTTTCTATCGGCAGTGCTGTTGCAGCCATTGCTTCCAACTGAAGTTTCTATAGCTCAAAGACTCTAATTCGCTCTTCTCTTTCATGCTCTTCTTTTCTTTCTCTTTCACGTTCTTCTCTTCTTTCTTCTCTTTTGCATTCTTTTTCTCTTTCATCTATTTCGTGTTTTTTTTTCTCTTTCGCGTTCTTCTTTTCTTTCTCTTTCTTCTCTTTCACATTCTTCCTTTCTTTCCCTTTCTTCTCTAATTGCAGCCAGTAGTTCTCGAGTGAACTCTTCATCATAACCAGAACTTTCAGTAATCAATTTTATGCAACTGAGCAATCTTAAATTCAGGTTTTGCGGTTAAACATAACTCTTCTGCTAGTACTTTTAAATCCTGTTTTTTACTCCTAGCTAAGAATGACATGTTGACACAAGTTATCTTTATTAGGCTTCCTTTTGAAATTGAATCTAAAAGATTGTACTTGTATTAAAAATGTATAATTTCTGACGAGAGTTAATTTCTTAAACACGAAATTCACACTAACCAATTGGAGAGAATTATTTAAACAACTTTGCCAGGTTGGTTTAAAATAATATAATACTACATCGGGTTGACGTTTTAACTCACTATTTACAAGCCTCGTTAGCTATAACTATATAAACACCTCTGCCAGTTAGGCAATACAGCGGAATTTCACCCACGTCTGTTTGACAATTTTACTATCTATCTTCACGCCTGGTTGGCGATAACAAAAACAATATTTGCCAGTTTGGTAAAACAATTTAGCTGTAATATGTCAGGATGATGTTACTATCTACTACATGCCTGGATGGCGAGAACTAAGAAAAGACTTTTGCCAGTTCTGTAGTGTAATCAAATCACATTACGTCAGTTTGACGCTACTACTTATTTTCCACGTGCCTGCTTGGCAACTAATTCAGAAACTCAGTTAGTAGTTCTTTTTATATATATATATAAATGCCGGGATGGCTTACATATATCAATTATCAACAAAAAAATTCAAAACATATAACAGTAAAGCCTAAATAATAATTTTTTTTAATACTTCTTTACCACAAATATCAATTATAAATTACTCCTACTAATTTTAGTATCAGTTATTTTACACAGAAATTACACTATTTAAATATAATTCTGAAATGAAATACTTAATAAATACTTTTTTATGAAAAGAACTCCGAAGATAAGTTAATCTTATCTTCGGAGATCAGCAATATCTTATTCTGACAATTCTTTGCTCGGACGAAAGTTCTAGAAACACAGAAGATAACCGTTGAATGATCCACTCCAAAATCTGACTTTAATACGGCAGACTTCTAACATCCATTTCACCTTGAAATAAACAAACTCGGCAATTGGTACTAGCAAACTTGTTCTCAAAATTTCAGCTACGTTCAGTGATTAGGTGACCAGCACTATCGAAATTGATAATTGCACTCCTAATTTCCAGTATCTCGGTGGAACCTTCAATTTAATAAGACTGTAATGTATTTTGCAGTAATTGACAAAACAGATAAACTTCTTAATAAAACATAAATTTTATTTTTAGTTTCCGGAAATAGATAATTTGTATACAATTCCTTAGTGGCAAAATTTTCATACATCTACTAGCTAGACAAACTTCAGAATTCTAATCTTAAAACAATTTCTTACGTTTCTGAGCAATGGTTACATAATACAAATATGGCATTGCCACTTCAACAATAAATATAGTTATTTGATAAATAACAAAATATTACAGTATCTTAGAATTTTTATTTTAGTTCTTGTTATTTTGAGTTACTGTTCGAGTAAGGCATAGTGTGTTAGCGTCAAGCCAACACATTGTGAATTTTAAGGAGTTTAATAAAGGGTAATTTTAATCCTTCTCCTGTGCAGTTACTACACATACTGCAGCTGTCACCTTAGGAGACAGACAAGTGGTTCTTAGAGTTTAAATAGCTTAATAATGTACTTTGACATAGTTTGTAAACACTGTGTTTATATGAAGGTCATGAATTATTTATTCATGACTTTCAAAGTATTAAAAATTTTCAAGGCAGTACAATAAAAAGTATTACAAATTTATTTCTAAGCAGCACAATAAAAAGTATTTTAAAATTACAGCTACGTGGATTAAAAACTTAAAAATTTGCATTTCATATATTATTTTTTAGTGTTTTACACTATGTTAAGCATATTTTATGTGATGAATATAGGAAGATTATTGTATACATATTATAATTAAATTTTTCTTGTAATCAAACACATGCTAAACTTTAAATGTGATTTTGTTGAAAAAGGCTTTTGCAAAATTATGGTTTTGATATGGTGCCAACAATACCTTTTAGCAACAATTAAGTGTAGTTTGCATTCAAATTTTATACTAATTTACATTTTTAATTCATGTAAATTATTTATATAAAATAAAAAATTGTTTTAATATGCATTAAAATTCAGGAAAAATGGGACAGTATTACAAGACTGTGGAAGAATAACAAAAATTTAGTTCAAATGGTGAAGCTAATTTTAGTAGATGAGGTAAGAAATACTGACCTTTCTTTAATTAAATTTAGTTTAATTAATTTACATATTTGGAAAATGATTATAGCAGATAGTTATATGAAGACTTCAATATTTTACAATATATATTATATATATAAATAAAATAAAAAATAAATAAATAAATAAAATGGAGTTTAAGTAACTTTGAATTCTAAGTGCTAAAGGAAAAAGAATGTAACTTAATGGCTGTTCTGGAATGCGTGTAATGTAAATGTATGGAAGTATTAAAACTTATCAGTAAATTATCACTAAGTGAATTTCCCCTGAAGATATTTGTTTATGATTATAAAATTTGTTTGTTTATTAAAATATTACACTGTCCTCCAAAAGTTATGGAACGGCATGTTTTTTGTGTCTAATTTAATAGTGAAGCAAAAATTTAGAGGAAATGTTCACTAAACAGTTCTTCAATGAATTTAGCATAGAATGTTTCTAAAGTTGAACACAAACATGAATTGCAACAAAAAATTGCATTCTTGGCAGAGAAATCCAGTCTTGGGGAAACGGTATATCACAGTTTTTTGAGGAAAAATGGGGTGGTAACATTATAAAAATTGGTTCTAATAAAGAAATTGTCCACCCCAAGCTGCAATCCATTGGCGACAGTGATATTCCATGCTGTCAATTAAGTTGTTGATCAGTGAAATGGGAAGCAATGACCAGACATGGAGTAATCCTTGTTCAAGCTCATCTAGCGACCTTGGAGGAGGACTTAGAGCAGCAACCCAACCTTTCTCCCAAAGTAGTCCCAGAGATGCTCTATCAGATTCAGGTCTGGAGATTGAGCTGGCCATTCCAACTGCTCCATACCGTGACCCCCAAGATATTCTTCAGCAACCCGAGCTCAGTACGGTTGCACCATGTCGTCCATCAGAAGAAATCCAGGACCAATAGCACATATATAGGCAGACATATTGATCAAATATCTCATCTCGATATCTCAAAGTTCTTCCATGAAACACATGCAGGTCAGTGTGACCACCCACCAAAAGAGATCCCAGCTCAAACCATTGTTCCACCACCTCTGTAACTGTGTCTTTTCACTATGTGGGATTGGTTGTATCTGGTGCATTGTTCCCTCGAGATCAGCTGAGGACCTGAATCACTCTCCAGTATGAACCTGGACTCATCTGTGAAGAGAACAGACACCCATTGTTGACTGGTCCAGGAGACGTGTTCTCTTGCCCAACATAAATAGGCACCTCTGTGTCCTCGGGTCAAGGGGATACAAACACACAGACCTGTATTGTGCAGGCATCTGTGCTCTGTAATAGCTGAGACTCTTGTTCCTGTTGCTGCTAAGTGGTCTGCCATGAGCTGAGATACAGTAATGTTACACCTCCTTAGGGTCGAAAGAGTTAATGACAGTCTACCGCAAGTGTTGTAACTCTAGGTCTGCTAGGAACGTGTCTTCTAGACACAGAATCTTCAGATTTCAAACTGATTCCATAGTCGATGGACAACACTACAAGAGACACTGAGACGTCTAGTAGCATCAGCTTGCGACATCTCCACTTCCATCCGATCCGATCACCCAATCACTTTAAATGAATCTGACAAACAACTTGTTGAGGACATTAATAGAACTCTCCTGGATATTGTTCCACAAAACTGTTAATAACAACTGAAGATCAGTACTCGTGAGCAGATATTACAATTTTTTGCATTTTTTCTCCAACTTCTGTATAAGTATTCATTTTTATAAAATAAAAGTGGTAGCTATTGTTTTTGCATATATTTTCTTAAACTTTGTTAATGTCATTAATATGAACTGTGAGCTTAAATGTTACTGACATTTTTGTAATGGTGAACTTTGAAAAACTTGCTGTTCCTTAAATTTTGGAAAGCAGTGTATATTATTACATATGTAATTAAATTTTTCTTCATATCTTTCAGAAAGTCGTCATTTATGTATTAGTAAAATTTGATAAATGAAATTTACATAATAGAACCAAGTATTTTAGTAAATCAAGTGGTGCTTCCTGATTATCAGGAGCTCCCAGTTTCTGCATTAAATTATTTCTTATAAAGATGTAGTCTTTTTTGTAGTTGAGCATTTCATAGTAAGTATGAAAAATATTTTATTTGCTTAGCTGTTCAAATCCAATAAATAAAATGGTATTTTATTGAACATACACAATATATCAGAGACAGTGATTTTAATTTTTTAATTCATGCAGTTGAATTAAAAATTGATGTTTGAAATCGTATTTCTAAATGCATCGATAAGTATTAATATTGCAAAAATTTTTTGAAAGCCATGGCTGTTCAGTAAATTAAGACCAATTAATTTTCACACATGTGTTTTTAGGGGGAGGATAGAAATGATAGAAGTTAAAATTTACTGGTAGGTGATCAGAAGAAAGTTCATCTTTAACATCAAGATAGGGTTGCTTGGGGCAACAATTCTGATGTCGTTATTAAATTGATAGTAAACAGAGGTCTCTTCCTTTTTCATTTGTGGTCCTGCAGTTCCAAGACTAATGTTTGGCTTTAAGGCCATTTGCAATTATTGTTGGTAAGTCTGAAGAGGTTAAGGTATACAAATCTTGGGTAGAAAGGGTTTTACCAGGGAAGACTATACACAGCAATGAATAAGAACTTTTCATTAGTGGCACTGTAGGTGATTATTGCAGTGTATTCAATATGCAAAGTGCTTGGAAATTGATAGACAACATGCTTGATATGATTTTTAATAGTGGCCGCAGTGCTGCCTCCTCTATTATGTTGTCTGTCATTTCTGATGGTAGTGTAGCATTGAATTTTAATTCTGTTGCAATGACAAAAGCAAATTCCATTTGAAAAAGTGTTTCTAGAACTAAACAAGACAACTAATAGCAGAGCAAAAATAGTAAGTGTTAATAGTAATCTATATATATAAAGAAGAAAGTCTGTGTGTTTGTTCATGATTAACTCAGTCACTACTATAGCTATAGTCACCAAACTTTCTAAAATTCTTTTCTGGGTCCTGGGAAAGGCCGACATCCACCTTTTTTCCCAGATAAAATTAGCTGAAATCAGAGATATTAATTAAAAACTCTGGAAACGCTAGTTTTCAACCTCATTTTTCCAAGTGGCAACAGTCTCGCACGCTGGAGATAAAAATTTCTAAGTTTTACAATGAAATAAAAATAGCATTGTCAAACATTAAATACATTATTTCCGATTCCAAAAGCTTGTCAGAAAAAACTCTGAAAACACTAATTTTTGCGCTAATTTTTCCAAGTGGCAACATTCTTGCGCATTTGAGATAAAAATGCTTTATTTTATTCTACCGCTCGCTTTCAAATCGTAGAGTTTGTTAATAAAAAATTTCTAAGTTTTTAAAAATATCTTTATAAGAAGAATGTCTGTTTGTGTGTTTTTTTGTTCCTGTTATTGATTTCTGATCAATTATGATAAATTTTTTGCCACATTTAATTGACTAAAATTGAATATAGGCGAAATGTTGGATGGAACTTCAGCTTTTATGACCATTTGATTAGAAAGATGAAATTGATTAAAAACTGCATGCCATTGTTGCTGATAATGAGAGAGAATTAGTTTATTTTTCTGTCAACATTTTTTATGTGGTTTCCATATGACGTCAAACTGAAAAATATATGACTATGAATCATGTTTTTTGCATCGTTATTAGAGAAGGATTACAATGGTATCATTCTCTCTGTTGTTAGATACATTACTCTTATCTAACTTAACTGTCATCAGGCACGTCCACTAATTACAAACTAAACTACATCTTTAGAACAACAGCATCGCAAAGCAAGATCTCCTAATGACAACGCTCACTGTTGCCAGAATTTATTAACTAAATTATGCATTATTATTATTATTTGCTTTCTTTTTTTTTACATACTTTAACACTTTTCGTTGTCAATAATATAAAAAATAATAATAATAAACAAGGAGAAAAAGTCACAGTTTCATCTTATCATGAAGAATTAACAGTCTCAGTTTAAAAAGAGGTTTAGTCATTATGCCATCAACTTACTCCTATGTAAGTATCTGCTGCACAATGATTTGTTTTTCGAGAACTTTCTCTCGTATGAAAAAGTGCTTGATATCAATGTGTTTTGTATGCCAAAGAAATTCAGGATTTCGTGACGGTCTCACTGCAGTGGTGTTATCTACTTCATATTACTGGAACTTCATGTAACTTGGTAACATCACTAAATAATTGCTTTAACCAAATTACTTCTCTAGAACATTCATTAGCTGCAATTTTCTCTGCTTCAGTTGTCAAATTGAAGTTGAAACAACTGACTATCTTTGACTAATCCAACATATAGCTCTGCCACTGTATAATATCACTACTCCACTTGTAGATTTCCCTGTTTCTTGAAATTCTCCAAACTCTATGTCACAGTACCACTCCAGTACTCCTGATTTGTATTTATTTTTGTATGTAATACTTTTAATAAAAGAACGTACTATGTATCTAAATACACATTTCACTTTGATTAAATTGTCTTTAGATAAAGTGACGTGAAAGAAAGCCGACACAGTAAATTAAACCTGGTTTTGTACCTACGATACGTTAAAGTTCCTACATCTTCTCTAAAAGGGAAAATTTCTGTGTTTAGCTTATCTTCCTTTTTCTTTTCAGTTAAATTTTCCTTCAGGATAGGAGTTGATACTGGTTTACAATCTTCCATCCCAAATTTTTTAAGAATTTTTCGTGCTTAAGCTTGCTAATTGTGATATTTCCATCTTCAATATGCTTAATTTGAAGTCCAAGAAAGTATACTGCTGGTTTAGTTGTGATTCTGAATCTCAACTTCCAATTTTCTAAGAAATTTTTCAGAATCTTGTAGATTCGTTAATGCTATCAAACCATCATCTATGCATAAGCATATGATTAGCTTCTTGTTATTCTTGTTTCATATATATGAGCATGGATCTGCTTCACTCGTCAAGCCAAGTTGTGACACAAAGTCTCCAAAATACTTATTCCAACATCGTGAAGCTTGTTTTAG